TTCCCCTGTTCCAAGGGCTGCGCCAGCTACGCGCGGCAAGTAAGGAAGATATACCCCCAAGAGGGGGTACGATCGAAGACGAAGAGGGCGGGTACCGAGGGTTTGGGATACACTTGGTAAATGGCACGCGAGCGCATCGGAGCGAGCAGTCTTCAAGTGACCGTTGAATACTCATTTCTATACAATATTGATTATTGATCTCTGGAAACGGTTCCGCGCGCTCTCGCCTCGACGCCGGCTGCAATTCCTTTGAAAACGAGGCTCCCGCTCGAGCGCGGGCTTGATTGTAAATGTGTGCCCTTGGAGGCGCGGCCACAACGACAACGACTCCTGCTCAACACATAATCACAATTTACCCCGAGACACCCTGGCCAGAGAGGCGCGCGAACTCAGGAACGCCGCTATCGCTCGACACTTCCTCGCAATTCAATGAAGTTGGCGGAGGCCCAGCCAGGACGACAAGGGCTCGGAGCCCCTGGCCAGGAAGGCCCCCGAACTCAGGAACGGCGCCCTCGCCCGAGATTTTCTGGTGATTCATTCAAACTTGTGGAGGCCCAACTCCTACGACAAGGGCTCTCGTTCGATACTTCCTCAAAGTGTATTCCCAGAGGCCCTGGCCAGAGAGGCCCCCGAACTCAAGAGTTTTCACTCGAGACTTTCTTGTAATTCAGGCAAGTTGGTAGAGGCCCAGACACGGCGACAAAGGCTCCCGTTCGATATCTCTCAATCTGTATTCCGAGAGCCCCTGGCCAGAGAGGCCCGCGAACTCAGGAACGGCGCTCACTCGAGAGTACCTCGCAGTTCAGTCAGTGGCCGACAGGGAAAAGATTCCCCCCGAGAGAGGGCGCGATCGAAAACGAAGTGGGCGGGTGTCGAAGGTTGGGGTATACAGAATGCAAGACACGCGCGCCAGTAAAAGCGAGCAGTCTTAACATTATTGTTGTTGTTGCTGCTGTTGTTGCTGTTGTGCTGCTGTTGCCATTGGTGTTGTTGTTGTTGCTGGGTTCTCTTGTCGAAATCATAAATACTGTTGAGGCCACCGGCCCGGTGACCATTGTGTTTTTCAATGGAAGTGCTCCTCCCGAGGCTCGCACTTGGTTTTTACAAAAGGAGATCAGGGGTCACCAATATGGGCCCCTGGCCCCTGAGTTAGAACAACAACGGCTCCCGCCTGAATCTTCCCACAATTTATTCGAACATCGCGCTCTCGCGCGAGACTTCCTCACTATGTATGCATGAATCGCGTTCTCGCGTGGGACTTCCTCGCAGTTGATTCAAACGCCGCGCCATCGACACTCAGGAATCGCGCTCTCGCTCTTGCTCGTTCTCGCGATTCACATGAAATTCGCGCTATCGCTCGATAGTTCCTCGTGATTCATGCAGCACTCACGCTTCAGCAAACCGCCTGCTCGTCCTGGCCGCTTGGGCCGGCCTTCCCGACCCGCCCGATAGGGTCTACCCGCCCGATCAGCCAGTCTGGTTTTGCCATGTGTTTTCTTTTCCTGACTCCCCTGCTGCTAATCCCGTGTTCCATCCTTCCCCCTCCCCCTTTCCATCCGTCCTGTCTTCTCATATTGTAAGGGCTGTCCCAGTTGCACGCGGCATGTAAGTAATGTTTCCCTTCAGAGGGGGTATGATCGAAAACGAAGAGGGTGGATATCGAGGGTTTGGATAGGCGTGTTGAACATCACGTAAGCAAGTCAACGCGAGCAATATTAAAACGATTGTTGTTGCTGCTGTCGTTGTTAAGCTCTCATTCTTGAAGAATCGTAGTTGTGTGATCCCCCCGCCGGTGCACACCGTGCTTTTTCAATTGAAGTGCCCCCTCTCGGGGCTCGCACCCTGTTTTATCTTATCAAGGAGAATCTTCGTGCTCAAACTGGGCTGGCGGCCCCCGATTTGCAAGAACAGCGGCTCCCGCCAAATACTTCGTCACAGTTTTTTCTCTCCAAGATCGCGCTCACGAGCGGCACTTCTTCAGCATGTACGCAGCAGTCGCTCTCTCGCGTGGGACTTCCGCGCAACTTAATCAGACGCCGCGCCCTCGACACTCAGGAATTACGCTCTCGCTTTGGCCGTTCTCACGATTCACTTGGGAATCGCGCTATCGCTCGAGAGTTCCTCGCGATTCGTGCAGGACTCACGCTTCAGCAACGCCTGGTCGACCTAGCCGCCTGAGCTCGCCTTCCAGACGCGCCCGTTAAAGTCTGCCCGCCCGATCTGCCCTGCTGGTTCTGCCACGGGCTTTCTGCTCCTAGCCCCTCTCCTGCTAATTTCTCTCGTGCTCCATCCTTCTCTCTCCCCCTTCCATCCGTTCTCTCTTTCGCTGTTTTAGGGGCTGTGCTACATGCGCGTGGCAGAGATAGAAAATGTACCCCCAGGGGGGCACGATCGAAGACGAAGAGGGTGGGTACCGAGGGTTGGGGTATACGTGTTGAGTGGCACGCAAGCAGACGGGAGCGAACAGTCTTAAACTGATTGTACTTGTTGTTGTTCTAGTTCGGGGGGCAACAACGCATTCTGAACAGGAATACGTTCGGTCGTGAAAGAGAAGGTGGAAGCCCTGGGAGGAACACTTTAAGGGAAAAGCGCAAGGTGCACCGAAGGGGGCTCAGCAATACGTAGCGTTATTCTTCAGAAGCGCAACAACGGTTACGTACTTCATCTCAGCATGGATGTCCTGTCGCCGACGTTGCAGCATGCTTGGCGGGAGCTGGACAGGGGCGCAACTCCCGAGCGAGAGGGCGAGATGTCGCTCTCGCCTCAGCGCCGCGCGGGTTTCGCTTGAAAGTGGCGTTCCCGCCCAGGCACGGCGCGCATCTCGCACTCGCCAAACCGTTGGTGGTGGTAGGGGGGGGGGGGCGGCGGGGCCTCGCGCGAGCAGGCGAAACGTGGCCCCCGCCCCAGCTCCGGGCCGAGCTTGCCTGGGAGTGGCGCTCCTGCCTGGGCGCGGCGCGTGTTCTCGCCCGCCTGGCCGGATGAGAACGGCAGCGACAGCGGGGTCGCGCGAGTGCGAGCGAAATGTGCATCTCGCCCAAGCGCTACACAGAAGTTGGGTGTGTAAGTTGCAGGTTCGCTCCGACGCCGCGCGTGCTTTATTCTCGAAGCGCTCCTCGGGAATTTGGCCGCTCGTGAGGGGGCTGAATGATGCCCTCGCCGCTGCGCCACACCATGATTCTCTGGAAGGTCAGCTCGTGTCTGTGCGCGGCCCATGTGCTTTCCTCTCGCCAAGTCGTCGGGGCGTGACCGCGCGCGAGCGCCTTCCGTTCGCTAGGTGGAACGCGATACCAAGTTGCGCCACCATTGATTCTTACGTTGCGTGTGTGTGGTGTGTGTGTGTGTGTGGGAATGGGCAGGACCCGCTGACTCGTCCGAAGTGGCCAACCCTGCTGCTCCTTCTCCTTCTCTTCCCCCTCCCCCTCCTTTCCCCTCTCCCCCTCCTTGTCCTTCTCCCCCTCCTTTTCCTCCTTCTCCTTCTCTTTCTTCTCCTCCTCCTCCTCCTCCTCCTCCTCCTCCTCCTCCTCCTCATCATCATCATCATCATCATCATCATCATCATCATCATCATCATCATCATCATCATCATCATCATCATCATCATCATCATCCTCATCCTCTTCCTCTTCCTCTTCCTCTTCCTCTTCCTCTTCCTCTTCCTCATCCTCCTCTTCTCCTCGTCCTGCTCCTCCTCCTCCTCTTCTTCTCCTCCTCTCCTCCTCCTCCTTCTCCTCCTCCCCCCCTGCCCCTCCGCCTCATTTCCGTCCCCATCCCACTGCCCCCCGTTCTCCTCCTCCGCTCCCTTCACCTCCCCTTGTTCCTCCTGTCTCCCCATCCTCCTCCTTCTCTTCTCCTCCTCCTCCTCCTCCTGCCTCTTCTCCCTCCTCCTCCCATCCTCCTCCTCCTACCCACTCCCCCCTCCCCCTCTCTCCCCACCTTCTTCTCCTCGTCACCTCCTCGTCCTCCTTCCTCCTCCTCTCTCTCCTCACTCCTACTCTTCGTCCTGTCCTCCTCGTCCTCATCCTCCTCCTCCTCCTCCTCCTCCCTCCTTCCTCCCCTCCTCCTCCTCCTCTCGTCCTCCTCCTCCTCTCCTCCTCTCCTCCCTCCTCCTCCTCCTCCTCCTCCTCCTCCCTCTCCTCCTCTTCCTCCTCCTCTTCCTCCTCCCCTCCTCCCTCCTCCTCCTCCTCCTCCTCTCCCCTCCTCCTCCTCTCCTCCTCTCCTCTCCCCCTCCTCCTCCTCCTCCTCTCCTCCTCCTCCTCCTCTCCTCCTCTCCTCGTCCTCTCCTCCTCCTCCTCTCCTCCTCTCTCCTCCTCCTCCTCCTCCTTCCCCCTCCTCCTCTTCCTCCTCTCTCCCCTCCTCCTCCTCGTCCCCCTCCTCGTCCTCCTTTCCTCCTCCTCTTCCTGCTCCTCTCCCTCTTCCTCCTCCTCCTCCTCCCTCCTCCTCCTCCTCCGCCCCTCCTCCTCCTCTCTCCTTCCTCCTCTCCTCCTTCTCACCATCATCAAACTTAATATCGCCATCACCTCATCGTAATCCCCTCTCCTCCTCCTCCTCCTCCTCATCCTCTCCTCTCCTTCTCCTCCTCCCTCTCCTCCTACTCTCCTCCTCCTCTCTCTTCCTCTCCTCCTCATCCTCCTCCTCCTCCTCCTCTCCTCTCGTCCTCCTCCTCCTCCTCGTCCCTCCTCCTCATCCTCCTCCTCCTCCTCTCCTCCTCCTCTCCTCCTCCTCCTCCTCCCCCTCTCCTCCTCCTCCTCTCGCCTCCTCCTTCCTCCTCCTCCTCACCATCATCAACTTTCCTCCTCGCAATCCTCCTCGTAATCCTCCTCCTCCTCCTCCTCCTTCTCCTCCTCCTCCTCATCGTCATTCCATCCGACCGTCCAGCCATCCCTCCTTCCATTTCCTTACTGCTCCATTTCCTCGTCATCATACTTTCTCATCCTCATCCTCCTCATCAGCTCATTCTCTCTGACTGTGCCCCTTCGCCCCGCTTTCCCCAAGGGTCCCGCCGGGGCGGCCCTCTCGTGAGCGAGGCCAGCGCGCCTGGCCGGCGCGGATGGCTGCGGCTGGCGAAATGCGGCCTCCTCCTCCTCCTCCTTCTGCTGCTTCGCCTTCCTGGCTCCTCCTCCACCTCCTCCCCCTCTTCCTTCTCTCCTCCCTTCCTTAAGCGTCCTCCTTCTACTCCTTCCTGCCTTCCTTCCTTCATTCCTTTCTTCCTTCCTTCCTTCCTTCCATCCTTCCTTCCATCCTTCCTTCTTTCCTTCTCTTCCTCCTCCTGCTCCTCCTCCTCCTTACCTCGTCCTCTCCCTACTTCGCCTACTGCTGCTCCTAGTCCTGCTCCTCCTGCGCCCCACATGGTCTCTTCTTCTTTGACTATTACTACTAAAATCCTCCTCCTCGTGCTCCCCCTCTTGCTCCGTGTGCTGCTGCTCCTGCTCGCCGTCGTCGTCGTCGTCCTCCTCCTCCGCGCTTCCTCCTTCTCCTCCTCGAAGATCGACGCTTTGAGACTCTTTGGTCCACGATGGATTCTGCGGAAACATCCGAAGCCTCTGGGGACCTCTGGAAGCCCCTGGAGGTTTCTAGAGGCGTCCTCCTCCTCCTCCTCCTCCTCCGCCTCCGCCTCTGCCTCCGCCTCTGCCTCCACCTCCGCCTCCCCCTCCTCCTCTGCGTAAGCTGAACAGAACATCGAGCGGGAGATGCGATAGCCCAGCTTTCACCGAACATGTGATCCACGCCACAGCGAGAGCGCGTGGAACCGTTTCCATAAATCCAATATCATGCTTCTACGAGTGCGAAGTCGACGGTGGCGGCCACTGCGACGGTGGCGTCGACGACGACAGCGGCGACGACGAGGACAGCGATGACGACGACCAGGGCAGCGTCGACGACGACGACGACAACGACGACGACGAAAACGGCGACGACAGGGACGGGCGTCGCGCGCGCCGGAAGGCTCTTCGGAGCGGCCGCCCGCTCGCTGGGCCCGCCACGCTGCCCGGGCGGCGACCTCAGGGGTGCCGCAGAGGCCAGGGCGGGCCGGACAGCCTTCGGCCCTTCTCCCCCCGACCGTTTCGTTCCGTTCCGCAGGTTCCTCCTCCTCCTCCTCCTCCTCCTCCTCCTCCTCCGCCCTCCTTCTTCACTCCGCCTTCTCCTCCTCCTCTCCTCCACCTCCTCTCCCTCCTTCTCCTCCGCCTCCTCCTCCTCCTCCCTCCTCCTCCTCCCTGCCCCTCCTCCTCCTCCTCCTCCTCCTCCTCCTCCTCCTCCTCCTCCTCCTCCACCTCCTCCGCTTCCTCCCTCCTCCTCCGCTCCTCCACCTCGCCCTCCCCTCCTCTCCTCCTCCTCCTCCTCCTTCCTATCCTCCTCCTCCTCCTCCTCCTCCTCTCTCCTACTCCTCCTCCTGCCCTCATTCTTCACCTCCTCCTTCTCCTCCTCCTCCGCCTCCACCTCCTCCGCCTCCTTCTCCCCGCCTCCTCCTCCTCCGCCTGCACCTTCCCCCTCCTCCTCCTCCTCCTCCTCCTCCTCCTCCTCCTTCTCCTCCTCCTCCTGCTCCTCCCCTCCCCTCTCCTATCCTCCGCTTCCTCCTCCTCCCCTCCGCCTCCTCCTCCCTCCTCCTCCTCCTCCTCCTCCTCCTCCTCCTCCTCCTCCTCTTCCTCCTCCTCCTCCTCCTCCTCCTCCTCCTCCTCCCTCCTCTGCCTCCTCCTCCTCCTCCTCCTCCTTCTTTTTCTTCTTCTCCTTCTTCTTCTTCTTCGAGCCGCTGTCCTTCGTGCGTGGCCTAAGGTTAGGGCCAAGATGGAGAGTCTCCCTGAGGCTTCTCGCAGTCGGCATATACGAGGGCCGATGTCGGCCATCATTTCTTACATGCTGGGGTTCGGATGGATCCCGAGGACCCCCACGTCATGGGAGCCTCCTGGAGATTTCAAATGGGAGTTTCCAGATGAGAACTTCACTGGCATCCCAGCGCTGGATAGCTTCAAAGAGTTCATTGATGAGGTGAAGGTTGCTGCGATGGTCCCCTTCTGGCGACAGGCTGAGCTGCACCACGACGGAGACGGTCTGAGGCAAGGTATCGATGGGTATTCTCTCCGACGGCTACTCCAGCAGCTCCGAGGTGTACGACTTGGGGGACCTCGTCTCGCAGGCCTGCTCTTGAACATCGCGATCGGAGCTGCCTGGCCCAAGGCTAGGAAGATGGATCAGCTGAAGTTCCCAGGGCGCGCGTGTCCAGTGTCGTCAGATGCTGGCCACTCGGGCGCTGCTTCAGGCGATCTAACGAGCCCCGATGTTCCTCAGCAGTCGACGGCATCAAGAGCACGACCCGTGGTGACCAATATGAGCGGCGACCACGACCCATTCGCTGACATCGAGCTGAGTGTTGACGAGGGTCAGACGTACCAGAGTGGGTCTACGAGTGCAGTGCGACGAGGTACACAACTGGGCAGTCAATTCAATGTGAACTGCGACCGTTGTGGTGAAGGTCCTGAGACATCTTATCACAGATACTGGCGTTGTTCTCATAACAGGGGTGCAGTTGCGTATCTCAATAGCGAGTGTCTTGAAGGGCAGGCCAGAACACAGCACTAGATGCATGCCTGTTTCTGGCACAGAGGACTTATACCCGCTGCATGGACCAGGACCCCTGATCCTCCACAGGAACACTCTGGGACATGTGGGGGTCTGAACAAATGGTGTGTTTGAAGGATGTTTACCCATGGGCACCGAGACCGACCCCACGGTCATTTTCGGAGACGCAAGTGGTGGCCCAGATACTGCGGACAGCAGATTACGACGAGTTGCTTTAGGGATAGCTACTGTTGCCAATTATGTTGACCCGCAGGTTGGGTGCTTCATCACTGGACCGTTGACAGGACCTCGCCAAGTGGTTGGTCGGGGCGAACTTCGTGGGCTCTGGCTGGCCATCTGGGCCAGTCAAGGGCCCATGATGTATGTGACAGATTGTGATAATGTTTACAAAGGGTGGGCATCAAAGGCATATCTGCACCACCAAGGCGAAGACGCTGATGAATGGGCCCGCATTGGGCAACTACCTGTGCATCGGTCACCTGACCTGGTTCAGGTCAAGTTCGTGAACTCGCACCTCACTGCCGAAGATGTCATGAATCACCGTGCTGAGTCGTGGCTAGTTGTGGGGAATACTATCATCGACGAGCTGGTGAAGAATGCGGCCACCGCTGCACGACTCCCAGTGGCAGTGCGACACGAAGTGCGGCAAGTCGAGCGACGAGCACACCTTGTACGACATAGGCTCTTGCGAGCCTCACTGGACGTCTTGGCAGCTGAGGCCGAGATGGGGGTGAAGAGAAAGGCGGGGCCTCCTCCTCCTCCTCCCCCTCCTCCGCCTGCTCCGTCAGTAGTCGCCACAATGGGGTCCCAGCACCAGCTCGATGATTCAGGTTTGCGTTGTTCCAGGTGCTTTAGCTCAGCTACCCAGGCTCGGGCCACCGAATGGAAACGTTCCCCCTGCTTCAAGCCTCTGAATGTAAACGGGGACTTCTGTAAGCTCCCATTTAAGCAGAAGCTTCATCTAGCGGGGGGCTGGGCGCACGAGACTCATCAGCTAAAGTTGTGCACACGTTTAAGTTTGTGGTTCTGCGGAGTGTGTGGATCCTTCTCAAGCAAGCGTAAGTCCGCCATCCAGGAACCCTGTTCGTTGAAGGCCACACACACACGGGGGCAGAGTATTTGAGGAGGATTCACTCGGGACAGTGGCCGAAGGACTTAAGCAAGGCCGAGCAGGCCAGCCGACTGGCCAACCCGAGGAGGAAGCCCCTCTCCTCCATTTAAGGCCATTTTCCTCTCACTTAGCGAATTGACATTCTCATTCTCATTTTCTCTCTCCTCCCTC